TTATACTGGTTTCTGTTTTGCACCGTAGTCCTGCAGCGGCAAGGAAAAGCTCTATATTTTGTCTACGGCTGTTTTAATACATTATTTATAATTTGTTCACTGCACCTTAGGACTGTTCACTGTACTTTTATAATGTAAATACGTGTGGATGTTATGTGATTTTTTTACTTTTTCTTTATCTTATTGTGTTGTGACTGTCACTATGTGTAAAGCTGCTGCTACACTACAATTTCCTAGCTTGGGATAAATAAAGTAAATCTATTCTATCTATTCTATTATTCTATTATAACCAAGTTGTATTTGTTAAAAAGTCCTTTTTGCTTTAATGCTACATGTGAAGTGAAATATTGTAGTTAAAGTATTAATTTAGTAGATTAAAAAAAAAACCTTCATTTACAAATGCAAACTCTTTTAAACTTTTTCAGTTTACTTTTATTTCCCTCTCAGATCAATGAAACATTTTTATAAAATATTGTAAGCAAATCTATTAAAAAATAAGTTAAGACTAGAGTTTTTTGGTGGATAAGTAGACGTTTTTAACCAATAGAGGAAACATGAAATAAAGATGGTTAATCTGTCTCAAAATATGTTTTAGAAAGGTAGAAAAGTCTTTTTGTGATTCATTTATCTCAACACAGTTTAGGTTTCTGACTGATTCAGTTGGTGTTCAGAGTCACACAGACTGGATGAGACTTCATCTGAAAAACATTTTGAATTACGGTTCATACTTCAGCCCATCCAGGACAGTTTGTTTTTCTAAACGCCCGTTTTTATTCAGATCAGTGATGCAGGAATCGGCCCATTGAGATGTGAAAGTGTCTGTAAATGACGCTGCCTGAGAGGGAAGCACAGCCAGCTGGTGTTTGGCCAAATCATTTTCATAACCGTGTCTAATTTAAGCTTCCAGCTACTCTGTGAAGGATGTTTTTTGTGGTTTAACCGGGAAGATGTTTAGAAAACGTTGAGAAAGATGCCGCGTCTGTATTTCTGTCTCCATCTTTCCTCCTTTTGTAACATTTTTTTTTCTTCCGGACATTTCAGAGGAAGATGCGGGTTGTGAAATGTGTTTGTTCTGAATCACGTAAACCTGTCCCAACTGGAGCTCAGTTAAAGCACAGTCATCTGTCTGCGCGGGTCCTCCCGTTAACGAGGACGCCGCCGCCTCCTGGGTACTACCGGGACATGATGTGGGATGCGAAAGGACAGAGAAGTAGTGAGTCATTAGCCTGGCCTGACCGCCGTTTCTGTCGCCTCTCTCCTCCTCAGACTCATCCACCAGCCCAGCGGCCGCTCCTACCACGAGGAGTTCAACCCCCCCAAAGAGCCCATGAAGGATGACGTAAGTAGTTTCATCCTCAGCCTACTCAGAGGACGGTCTGTGTAATCCTCCTGAAATGACTCTCAGGCTGGAAATGGGTCAGAGTTTTGCTGCTTTTCAGTAACTAACCTGTTTTCACTTTCAGACCTGCATCATGTTGGGGTTTTTTTTTCACATGCGGTGTTTGTTTGTCACGTCTGTAAAGGTGTCCCTGAAAGCTCTGACCCACTTTCAGTTCATGGGGACTGTTCTGTCCTTCTAGGTGGACAGAAGTGTCCATTGGGGAAACACTTTCTCTGCTCAGATAAATGCTGCCATTGGAAAGCATGTCTGCCTCATGCAGAACTAAACCTTGACATATTTTAGTTGACCTAGGAAGGTCATTTTTGCTTTTTCGTTGGACTTGAAACCTGTTCAACTAGTTCAACTCGTTTACATGGGCTAGTTCCGTTAGCTTTCATGTCCTCCCTCCACTTTTAACTATATTCTAACCAATTATAAAATAACTAATTATAAAAATGTACACAGACGTTATTAATAAATCATAATAACTAAGTATGGTCTTTATTTCTTTTTTTCCCCAGTGTTTTTATTGTCATTACACTGTCGAACAAACAGAGCAATAGAATGAGCTCTCTGCGTTTAACCCGTCCCTTTGGGGAGCTGTGGGCTGCCATTGTGCAGCACCCGGGGAGCAGTCTGGGGGTTAAGGGTCTTTCCAGAGTGTCAGTCTGTGGGAGTGGGGCTTGAACTCGGAACGTCTGGGTTCCAAGTTCTAAGCCCTAACCACTAGGCCTCAATGAGGAAATGAGGAGTTCTGCATAAAGCACATACCTGTTCTCTTATACACAATCCACTCCCACACTTCCCACTTTAACGTTCTCATGGTGGTCTCAAACGTCCACAGTAACAACACACATAGGGCGCGCCGCACATTTTGAGGGGGAAAAAACGCTTATATGCGCCTTATAGTTGTGAAAATACGGTAACTGAACGGTTCACCCTGTTTTTCATAGAAAAATATAAAAAAAATTGTATTTTGCAGTATTTTTTCTTTTGTTCTTTGAGTCTGATTAACTATCAGTATTTTCATGTGGCGGAATAAAAATGTTAAATCTTACTATCAAATTCCAACAAAAAAAAAATGCTGTAAAATGTATTTAACTCATCATGCGCTCCAGTCAAAGTCCCGTTCCTTCATGGTGTTGGAAAAGATCATTTGTAAAAAAAAAAACTACAATTAAACGGATTGAAGAATCAGACTTGTCTATCTTGGTCAATTTGGTTCACAAAAAAAAAAACATTCTGTTGTTTCTTTTCTTTTTTGCTCTCGTTGCATCTTCATTAGCTTAATATTTAAAACTTTAGCGCAGAGGTCACAGATTAGCGGACCACGGCCCGGATCTGGACTCACCTGGTTTAAAATATTTCTAAAATACAACACGTTGTCTGACAACAGTATCCAACTTCACTTGCGCTGCTTCTACTGTTAATACGGTAAAGAAGGAGGATGATAAGAAAGAGAGCAGAGAAAGTGTGGACTGCCACAAGAAGCGCAGTGAACTGATGAAAGCAGGATTCGCCACCATCAATATAATAAATATCGATCCAGGCTCACGAATGAGCACCTTGTTTAAAAATCCTCACAGGGCAGCGTAAAGCCCGCTTCTCTCATTAAGACAAAAAAATTTAAATAGGGGGGGGAAAAAAAGGTCAGTTCAGGTGTTTTATAAAAGATTAAGTCTGGAACTGTGAAAGATTGTTTGAAAAGCACTTTAGATCTTAAAACGGAAAAAACATTCTATTTTTTGTTTTAAAACAAAAATCAAAGTATAACATGGATGCATAAACACCTGCATTTTATTTCAATCTTAAAAACTGTTCAAAGTAATGGATTATAACCAGTGTTGGGAACGTTACTTTACTTACTAGATACTTCTCCCAAAAAGTAACTGAGTTACTCCACAATAAAAGTAACTAGTTACTAGTAAATGTATTGCGTTACTTTTGCGTTTCTCACCCTCACCACCTGGCCCCCACCTTCTCGCCGTGTGTTTTCAAAGCCAGCTGAATAGAGCGGACGACAAAGACAAGAACCTGCAGAGAGTTTAGCATTTATTGCAACTCAACTTAAATGACATCAGGGGGGAACGCCATCTGATGGGTCTATTAACCCCATCAGATAGTGTTCCCCCTTCTTAACATGGGGGGGGAGCGCTATCTGACGGGCCTATAAACCCCGTAAGATAGCGTTCCCTCTTCTTAACATGGGGGGAACGGTATCTGATGCGGTGCAAATATCATCAGGCTGCATTAACTCTACTAATGGGTGTGAAGTTTTTTAACAGGACGTTCAGATCTGGTGAGTGAATGAAATTAATAACTGGGGATGTTTAATTCTGAAATCCTGTGTTTTTGGGTTGTTAGAGATACTGCAACATCTATCCATCCAGATTTCTCCCTTTCTCCATATAGGCTAATGATCGTTCACGCTCTCCGTAGTTCCCCTGTGGCGCGAGCACAGGGCAACTGTTGCGCGCCTTTAGCGAGCATGTGCGGTGAATCGTGCCGTCTGCTCTGTGCGGAGATGCAGGGGAAACCGTATGTGATGGGGAAACGCAGCTCGACGTAACACCGGTATTTCCATGTGGAAAACGCAGTTTTGCTGCAGGAGTCCTCCTCACTCTCCATCTCTCTGTGTGTGCTGTACGTTAACACCCACCAGCAGAAACACCCACCTACCCAACTGACAGACGGAATCTCACTTTACATCAGCCATTCTCATCCTCCGGGGTGTCTGCAGTGGTAACTGCATTATAGTTACAAAGTAATTGCTTAAAAAAAGCCGTTACTCCCATCACTGATTATAATTAAAAATGTCTCTGGACCTTTAATGATTGATTCTCTTTTTTCGGATCCCAACTGATTTTTAATTAGTGGCCCCTGCTTTATAGGAAGTAGGGCTACGGTATCTGTGTGCGTATCGTCCCATTGTTTTGTTTCTGGGTAGAGGGGCAGGTTGTAAGGGCGGCTGTCAGGTGTCCATCAGAGGGAGAAGAGCAGCAGGAAGAAAAGCTCTGAAGGAGAGAGTTTACTTCCAGCATGTTGGGATCTGTCTGTTAACTGCTCCCTTCCTGACCTTTTGACCTTTAGGAGTCCTGTTGATAAAGGGGCTACTATCCCGAAAGTGGTTGAGGTTAGGAAAAAAAATAATTATGCGACTTTTAAGAGTAAAAAATAAATGAACTCGCAAGATTTAGGCCTCTGAGAGCAAATTTAGAAGGAAAGTGTTCCGCTTCTTGTCTTAGAGGTTGACTGATTCGTTTAAACTTGGGCTGAAACGAACGATTATTTTTTTGTGTTAATAATTGGATTCCCAAAAGTTCCTCAAAGTTGATTTTTTTTTTTTTTTTTTTTTACACGAAACTAAACCAGGTAAAACTAGTTCTGGATAGAGCAGATTGACAGACGAAAACTTTTCATTTATCTTAAAATCAATGTTGGTATAAATGCTGCTCTTAAGTGGGTCGTTCTGTCATCTAAAGACACAGTTTAGAGCCTCCAGTTAACAATGAATCAAAAATAAATCCAATCCAACATGGCGGCTCCTGCAGGCAGTGGCTTAATACAGATCTTAACAGTTCTACTGTTGTAAGCTGTATGCATTATTTCATTTTGTATACATGCTGTTTCAATAATCAATTAATCCGATTAATTTGTTCAGCCTTACTTTAAACCATCCTTGATTTTTATTTCTGAGTTTTAAATTGAAGCCGTTAAAGTTATCCTGGGAACCTTTTTCAAATCTTTAGGTTTTTCTGCTGGAACCTGTCAGTTTGTTGACTCATTTGATTAAAGATTTTCTTACTCTTTCTTTTTGTTTTCCTCCTCGGGCGACAGCGGAAACAAGCAGCTGCATGCCTGAATCACACCATGGTTCCCAAACTGAGGCTTCCTTCCTGCTTTATCTTTACCTCAGGTGACGGGCGAGCCGCTCATCCGCCGCAGCGACGACAACGAGAAGACGCTACGCTCCCGTTTGGACGCCTACCACCGGCAGACGTCCCCTCTGGTGCAGTACTACAGCGCCAGGGGCCTGCACACGGCCATCGACGCCGCCCAGAGCCCCAACGTTGTCTTCGCCTCCATCGTCGCCGCCTTCTCCGCAGCCACAGAAGTCCCGGCTCGCGCCAAAGCTTGTAAAGACCAAGTGTTCTTCATCTAAACCTCTTCCTCCTTCCTGTTTCCTGCTCCGCTGCCTCTTTTTCCCTCCATCTTGGGGATTTCTTTATATACCAGACCTGAGGTGTCAGAGTCCAAGAAGATGGGCTGTTACTAAGCTGGTGGCTTCTGTGGTGATAACAGATTAAAAGTTTAGCTTAATAGTTCTGACCTTTAGCTGAACTGAACGCTGCAAACCGCTCCTCAGGAAACATTCCCTCAGTATTCTCCTTTTGTTTCTGGACACATCTGCTTTTCTTTAACCTTCTCCTTTCCTCTCGAGGCCTTTTTCTTATAAACGATCCTGTTTTTTCCTCCCATTCCAGTTTCTTTTTCCCCCTATAGCTTCACCTGCTCTGAAAAACTGCAGCTGATTTGAATTTGTTTCGCCGTTTCTAAATGTTAAAAGTAGATTTTGGAACCCGACTCATTTGTCTGTGTCCCAAATAACTAAAAGGCAAATGAAACCATTCTTTGCTTTAAATGTGAGAAGAGATTAAACCAGAAATCAGAAATGGATTAAATCTGCTACTGGTGCCGTTTCTGCTTTATAAACCCGTTAATTTTAACCACCACTTAGGCGGCTTCATTAGATTGCTTAGTGAGCCAAACCTTTCTTCAAACAAGGTAACCTGATCCGTCTGCTCCTTTATGAGGAAGTTGGAACCAGATTAACAAAGGAAACAAATCTGTAATGAAAGTTATCGAGCTGCAACAGGATGTCTAAAGTAAGGATGTTGGATCCAAAGCTGCTGTATTTCATCCAGTATGAACTTTCAGACCAGGAAGGAGGAACACATTTAGGTTTTTAAACCAGAGCTGAACTGTTTCTGGAGCTTTTTACCAAACCAGAACATCCAGCTGGTGAATCAAATGTGTTCTCCTCCACTAACCTTTTGACCAGTAGAGGGATCTGGTTTTATAGATCTAGAATCTGTCCTACAGAGGATGAAACTAATCCTCTGTCTGCTGCGTTTCATTCTCAGTGCCTGAAGAAGCGAATCAAATCTCCCTCATTTGTTTATCCATTAGTGCAACAATCTGCCATCTGCTGTTGCCGCCCTCTGATGACCCGTCTGCATTAGAAAGGGAGCTTTTACTGTCGGCCTAATTAGCCAAATCAATAAGAACCTTTTTCTGGGAAGAGGACAGAATGTTGTTTTCAGTGAAGAAGCAGAGTTTTCCTGTAAACCTAATGTGACCCTGCAGAGGTTCTCTAGAACCAGCAGATGGTGGGTTTTTATTGGCTGCAGAGGTTGGTTTTCTGACTGCATCTGAACCATGAAAAGTAAATCATCAGGATTTAAGACAGACCTTAAATACGATCAGAAAATATCCTGGTGATGATCTGCATCTCAAACACCAGAGAATATCGGGATCTTTGGCTGAGCGCTTTAGGAAAATCCTCAGATTTGTTTGCTCATATGGAGAATTTAGAGCTTTGTTCATCCATGTTTGGCTGATGGATTCCTGCTGTCTAGATCTGAAACTTGTTGACTTCAACCTGTGGGAGCAGAGAGCATTTAAAACCACGGCTCCTGGTCTTCCATATGGCTACAGAAACAAAACGAGGTCGTTTAGACGTCCAACAGCAGTGATGAGAGCAGAGCTGACTCACTGAAAACTGCTTGTTTTTAGCGCTCCTATCAACGGCTGAAACTCATGCTAGTCTGGAAATGCCTTCCTGCTGGTTTAATGTTCTACTGTTTGCCAAAAGCCAAATATAATACATCTAATCTGCAGTTTGTTTCTTTGTATATTGAAATATTTGCTCATTTGTATTTTTGAGAGTTGTGATAAAAAGAATATCTGTGTTTGCCTTTTGATCCAAACTGATACCAGATGGAGTTGCTCAATATCAGGAACCCATGTAGCTTAAATTTGGATCATATTTATGGTTAATCCACATTTTCTGGCTCTTTTCATCCTTTTCTTTCATATCTTCTAGAAGCTTTAGCATTTTAACCAAAAGCATTATACATCTGTTGTGTATTGGAGTGTAAATACATTTTGTTAGATCACCTACCAATTGGAAATTTTTTTATATTTATATTTTTTTGATCCCACAATAATGAATAAAACGTGCAGATCTGTAATATAAATCAGTGAAAGACAAAAATGCAGAACACTGCGGATGAGGATTAGGGCCATTGGGGGAAAAAAAAAAAGTTAACTGATTTTTAAATTTTATTTCAGTTTAATATGGGGAAAAAAATAGGAATTCTGACTTTTTTCTCACAATTCTGACTTTTCTCACAATTCTGACTTTAATCTCAGAATTCTGACTTTTTCTCACAATTCTGACTTTTCTCACAATTCTGACTTTTTTTCTCACAATTCTGACTTTTTTTCTCACAATTCTGACTTTTTTTCTCACAATTCTGACTTTTTTTCTCACAA